GGACGCAGGGCCCAGTAGACAAGGGAGCAATGCACGTGCTGCCTGATGCTATCCAAAAGTTGTGCCTGACAACCTCTGTCCCCTTCCTCCCCTATAACCACCACCCCTTCAGGGACCAACCATTCCCCCATTCTGAGTGCCCTCAGTTTCAGAAGGCCCTCACGCCCTTTGGCTCTAAGGGAGTCATGTGACCCAGGTCTGGGCAAAGGGATTGGTGCAGGGTTAAACATGGCACGCAGGCTGGGTCTATCGGAATCAATAAGCACTTGCCCCAGGTTTTTGCTACAAACATTGAGAGAAGGGCTCGTCTTCTAATGGGGTTGCCAAGCCAGCTGCACAAGAGCCTGGAGCGTCTAGTGGCCCTATGTGCCACCACCTGGGTAGAGCTTGCTAAGAATTCCAGAGGCTACTATTTGAGGTCTTGTTTCTGGCTGTGCCTGGACTTCTCTGCCACTTAGGCCAATGAATTCCTTTTATTCTTAGACTAGACAAGTTTAAGAAAAAAGTTGGAGTTGAGTTTCTCTTCCAGCTGGAAGAGTCTAGCTGAATAACTCATGACGATCAGAACTGAGACTTGGATGCGGGGAACTGCCAGAAGATCTGGAGCACCAGAGGTATTCCTAAAGCCCACCACGTATCCGGTGCCTGGGAGAGGCCTTTGCTTGCTCGCCAGAGACCTGGCAGACCCCTCGCCAAACAACACAGCTAGATGACAGCACAGATTTTTTTTGAAACTTTATCATTTATAAAGCCATACAATGGATTGCAAAGAAACAAAGCAGCTGTACAGGGAGTGGGGACAGCATCAGTGTACAATACATTCATATCCAGGTAAGTAGCATACATCAGGATTTATACACAGTGGCAGAGATTATAGGCCCAATGATACAAAATATAAAGTATATTTCCATCTATATAAATACACAGCCAGGGATGGAGAGGAGGCTGGGTTATTGGGTTTTACCTAGAGAGGGTCTGGGATGGGGGAAGAGAAGTGCTAAGGGATTTCTTATATTTGTTTTGAATGACATGTCAGAAAGGAGGAGAGGAAAACAACATGCACACACAGACATGCTCTTTCTCACACATACATAAACCAAACGTGTAGTCAGGAGAGTTTCAACCATTTAACACTGATTAGAAAACAAATTTGGGACATTCCTCCATAATAACCTGGCCGCTGGGAAAAGCTCGGGATTTGGAAACAAACCTAGGTCCTCCAACATTTTGCAGATTTAGGACAGAAGAATCAAGAAGGGACATGGCTGTCCCTGCCTGACCCCATGTGGCCTGATCCTCACCATAATGAAGTCTGAGACTCTACCAATCCATGGCCCCACACACCTTGCCTCCTGATTCTTTTCACTGCTGGGTGACACTGAACTTGACCTCCCTTTGCCCACCACCTCCAACCCCACTCCCCAGGTTCCCTAAAGAGATGAGCAGAGTTTGCACACACACATCCACACTTGCACATGCACGCACACACATCCTTTGTTACCCCTGGCCAAGAACACTTACATCTCATGATTCTAGGACCTGGGTGGAGAGATGGTTCCAGGGACTCTGCCCCAGACCACTCCAAGGACCCCGAGTATGGGTAGGTAGAAGGGTGGGAGGCAGCCCTTAGCTGCAACATCAGCCCACCTGATCTCCCTAGGTAGGTCCTGAAGCTGGGAAAAAGCCCAAGGAGGGGGAGAAGGCCCAGGAGGTAGGGTGGTTGGACAAAAGTCTGGAGCCAAGAACCAATGGTGTTCATGTTCACAGACTCCTCTGCAGCCCCAGGACATCACAAGGAGACTACCTAACCTCTGCTCAGGCCCCTGAGAAAGAGGGAGAATCCCCTATGCTCTCCCTCCTGAGAACCCACTTACAGAACAAGCTCACTTCTGCAGCCAGCTACTCCCTCCTCCTGATCCAGGCCCCACTGCCCCTGTTGTCGCCTAGCCCAGCCTCTCCCAGGGATTCCTCCAACACCAGGGGAGAAGCAAAACTGGCAGTCGGCACCCACAGCTTTCCAGAGCTGCTGAGGGAGAGGAAGTGGGACCCAAAGACCTTCCCCAAACCTAGGATGTGAAACATCTGTCCCTCAACCACCAGAGGAGCTGGGCCTTGACAGCAGGACGAGGGCTTGCCACTCACCCTGGAGAGTGATCAAACAATTCATTTCCTCTCCTTTTTCCCTCGGGGGTCACCTCTGCACTATCCCCATGCCCACCCGTAACCCCTCTGGTTCCATATGGGAATAGCCACGAGTCTCTCTGGGTTTCCCTCCTTGCTGAATCGGAGATGTCACTTCCCAATCTTCTTCCCTCCAGGCACCATCCAGCCTGGCTGTGGCAAGGCCTCAGGCCTGCCTCAGAGGCCTGGCTGAAAGCCAGGGATATGGTGGGCTGGGGGTAGAGCTTTAGCCTGCCTGGGGTCTGCACCACAGGCTACCATGTCCTGCTCTTTCTTACCAAATTCTCCTAGACCGCTTCCTGTCCCAGCCCATTCTCAAGACCAGCCAACACTCTCCTGGTTGACAAACAGATTCAACAATAGACAACAGTAAATTAGGTTGGGGGGTGGGATGAGGAGAGGAGAGGACACGCATTTACAAAATAATAACATAATTATGAAAAGTGCTTTCTTTGAAAGGAAGTCTTTGGCAAGAATATACTGCGTGCTGTGTGTAGTGTTGGTGTGCGCACGGGTGCACAGGCCCACCTGTGCAACAGTCTCCATCATGCAGGGGGCTACAATGTCTTCCACACCCAGTGCCTGACCCAGCGGGGGCCGCTGTGGAGACTGGTGTACCCTCCTCCATTGTTCTTCTGAAAAGGCCAAACTAATGCTGAGACACCATGGATGTCAGGAATACCAAACTCTAAGAAACCTTCCAGAGGAATTCTGGGGAGTGAGGTGATGAGCTTTCAAACAGTGCCTTGGGTCCTTTCTACACATGGTTCAGGCCTGGAGTGCAGTGGGACGGCCATGCCTAGGAGCTGGGCTGCTGGTAGGCAGTGGGTATGTGGAGAAGCAAATGTGTAGGTTGACCCCAGACTCAGTCCTGGGCCTGGGTCTGGCTGCCCAAGGGCCTGACGCTCCATGCAGACCAGGAAGACAAGACCCCCTTGGCTGTCCAGTGTAAAAGGAAGAGTGAAGAAACAGCTCCCTCTATATTGGATGAGAACGGGGGTTAGCTAGGGAATGAGGCAAAGGGAGAATCCAGGTATTGGGCATGATTGTCTCAGAAGGAAGAGAATTCTGGAGACGCCTCCATCACCAAGTCCAGGGTTTCACTCTTGGGAAGCCCCTGCTCCCCCACTTTCCTCAGACACTCTCCTTTCCAACTCCTCAAACCAAATGTCCACACAGATATAGCTTCTTGGAGAAGAAATAATACAAAAGATACACACATCACCCATGTCTACCACTCACACCCCAAGTCCTTCCCATGCTCACACGTTCCATCAGGCTCTCAGTGACTGGGGCAGCTCCCCATACATCTTGAGAGCTGACTGCTGGGCTCTGGGCTTGCTGGGAAATAAAGAGGGCACCTCCTCCCCACTGAGCCCTGGGTAGAGTCCAGGAAGGCCGAGGCCAGGGAAAGAGGCCCCTGGTTGTTCCAAGGATAAAGGCCCCCTACCTCTCAGGTTTTAGTTATACAGGAAAGAAAAAAAAAAAAGATAAGGACTGGTTTATGCCCAGGGAGGCAATAAAGCAATATGGGAAAACAATAAATACTTTTTGTCAATTTACCTATTCTTTTTTTTAACCTTTTCTTAAATTTTATTAGCTTACAGATTCTGTCAGTATGTCTCATGTATATATTATATATATTTATATATCAGTACAATGCCTCTCTCGAAGGGACCTCCATAGGCTTAAGAAACCACTCCAGAAGAGTCTTGGTGAATTTTCCATTTTGGCTTAGAGTCTTGGGGTGGCTGTCAGGAGTTTTCCCAGTGGCCCAAATGAACAGTGGGCCCTTTGATCTGAAGGACTGCTTTCTGCCTTCTGCCCTCTGCTCCTTGGGCAGCTTGGCGCTGCTGGGGAAACCAAGGCAGAAGGCGGCATGAAGAGGCTTTGGCATGGGAGGGCAGGCCACATGGTGCACAGGCAGCAGTTCCAGGAGTTCAGCTGTTGCCGCCCTGGCAGGCCCGGCCAGAGGGGGTCTATAGCAGCCAACCTCAAAACCACAGAGCACAAGGACTCCAGGCTTCCTCCCTTGGCCTTGCTAAGTAGGGCTTCTGGAAGCGGCTTCCCTAGGGTAAGGCCAAGACAGAGGCCCTGCAGGGCAAAGCCGGGCAGGGTAAAGCAGGACGGCTTCATTCCCAGCACCCAAAACGGCATTATGCAGGTAGCAAGTCTGAGATAAGGCTGGTTCTGGAGCAAGAAACCCAAGACTCGGGTTGAGGGATGAGAGCTAAGGCAGAGTCCAGACAGCTGAGGGGAGCATGGGCCTACCTTCCTACTGACCCACACAGCAAGTGGAAGAGGCTGAAGCTCAACAGATGCCATTCCTGAGATCTCTTTCCCCAAAGCTCTGGGCACACATATCTCTAGCCCCTCAAACCAAAGCCCCCAGCCTCCTGGCCAAGGCAGCACAGGGGCAATGCTGCAGGAGTGGCTGTCCTCACTCCTGATGGGGACTTTGTAGTGAAGAGGCTGGCAGCATCCAGGGCTGCTAGCATGCAGGTGTGGGCGCCAGGAGAGCCTCTCTGACCCACCATCTGAGGTGTACCTGCAGACAAAGGCTTATCTCCCCTCCCTGATAACCTTGTTGACCCCAACTCTAATGTTCTCTGGATAGGATACACATGTGTGTGCAAACATGGGACACATACATGTGGAGCTGTTTACACTTCTAGCTGATGGAGGCAAACATCAACTATGTGTGAGCAGGTAGGTGTGAACATATGGACACCCACCTGCACAAACACATCAAAGAGGTGGAGCCTGGAGCCAAGGGTGCCTCAGACCCAACATGCTTCAAAAAGGAAAAAGGATGGCTGCTCGATACCCCCTGCTGGCCCTGTGTGGTCAGGCCTGCCCTCCAGAGAAGGGATCTCTGAGCTTGAGGTCTCCTTGCAAAGCAGTTGGGTTCGGGAGATGGGGATTTTCATTTCCCTCAAAAACATGGATCTCAAAGGAGGCTTGTTCCATGCCCTTTGAGGAGCTCCAGCTGCTCAGAGGGGTGAAGGCAGTTAGATGGACCTGGTGGGATTTGGAGGCTTTGGGGTTTTTGCAGTTTCCATCGACCTAGGGGAATCGAAATTATTCTCCTCCATCTTTTCCTCTCCTTCTCTCTCTCCTCTCTCACCCCCTCCACTCTGCAATACACTTTCCTCTCCCCACGTTGCACTTTCTTCTCTCCTTCACCAAAACTGGCCCAAAGTCCTCCTTCTGGATTCAAGGGTGGTCGTGATTCCTGGGTCCCCCCCAACATGCCCCATCCCCTCTGCCCTGGACCTGGGCAAGGGGTGGGGCCTCATCTCCTCTGGCCGGTACTCTGCATGACCTTGGAGACGAAGTTGACAATGGCAGAGGCAGGCTGGTTGGGGTCAAGCTCAGCGAAGAGGTGGCAGGCGTTGTCTGTGGTGCTGCCCTGCTTCCGTGCCACAAAGCCAAAGAGCCTATGGGGGCAGGAGAAGAGAACAGCGTGAGGGACGGACAGGAGGCACCCAGGCCTTGAAGCACAGCCCTGGCGGGCAAACGCCTCTCCAGACCAGCCTCTCTCCCCAGCTCCCCACGTCACATGGACCCTAAGAGAATCTTCTCTCCACTCCACTGACAAAGAGAACTGAGTCCTGGAGATAGAGCCTACTTTGTCCCAGGATGGCCAGGAACTCTTCTTTGATGGGGAGCCAGAGGTGAACGCAAGACTGGATGAGACCAAAAATAAAGTGGGGACATGCCTAGACTAGTTGCTTGCCGTCTACCCTAGCCCAGCCTCCACCCCACTGTTGTACACACAGCACACAGCAAATGAATAAAATGCTGTCTGCCTGGCTTGGCCTCCACAGACACACAAGGTCAGGGACACAAGGGACAAGCAGGTTGCCTTCTCCTCACACACACACACACCTCCCCCCACCCCCCAACCCTGGCCTGACACACACATACTCCTCCTGTGCTCAACAGGCTCCAAAGTCCAGAGGACCGGGGAGGGCAGTGGACCCCCACACCTGTTCCCTCCCTGTCCAAGCCTCCAGTGACCTAACATTCTCTCTTTGCAAAACAGAGTTAAAAATATGAGAGCAGAGAACAGAATGTGAGCTTAGGTCCCCTCCCAGCCGGCATGTTGCTAATTCGAGCAAGATGGGGAAATCGGGACAGCTGGAGATTCCGATGGAAACCCCTCTCCCAGCACTGGACCACAACAGCTAAAATTAGCAAAGGCGGGTCCAGCCTGTGTGCGTATGCACACACACACACTCACACGTCCTCTGTCATACACTTACACACCCACACCACACTGTCATACACACACTCACATCGCTTTCACACACACACACACTCACTCTCCCATACACACGTCCACATACTCAGTCTCTCACATACACACATTCACTCACACATACATATACATTCAGTGTCTCTCTCTCTCTCTCTCTCTCACACACACACACACACACACAGCCGTGCACTTCCTAAAGCTCTATTCCCTTCAACTGTGTTTCAGGGACTGGAAACAAGGGGGCCAAAGGCCTGGGATTAAGGTCTGCCCCAGCAGTGGGAAAGCTTGGGGTCCCTGGGCCCACACCCCTACCCTCCCCTTCAAGGCTGGCTTGGCCTCTATAGCACAGTGGAGGAGGTCAAGGTCACAGTGAGGTAGTGGCCTACCCTAACCGCCACCTGCCTTCCCTTCTTGATGTTGACTTCAGCAGAGGTGCCCCTGGGACTCAGGGCCAGGTTCATCCACAGAAACTCCTGTCACCAGCCTGGGCAGGTGGACGAGAGCCTGGGCAAGTGGACGAGGGCGAGAAGCCTCACCCGTCGAGCAGAGGGAGGAGGGGCTCACACAGTCATAAGAAGGACGCCTCAACTTCTGCACCCAAGGTGCCTCCCTTGCCGCACCCCAGTTTGGGCCCACAGCTCCCTCAGCAATCCCCTTTAGCATCTTCCTGTCATCCTGCCCCACCCAATACAGTCTCTTCTAGAAGAATCTCAACCCCAGACCAGCACCTACATGAGAAGAAGAGGGATTTAAGGATTTCCCAGCCTGAGGAGCAGCTCATGTCCCGGCTTCTCAGAGGGCTCAAAGGTGAGGGGATGTGAGCCTCCACTTAGAACACAAAGGCGTGGCCTGCCTGGCTACTTCACAAGAGCCCAGGAGGTACAGAGAGGGCTCATCAGAGGGACTCAGAGAACCGTGGCCTCATGGCCCTGTAAACCCAGCAGAAGGCTGAGGCAGGCCTAAGGCAGCTTATGCCATGACTGGACATGTGGACCTACCCTTTCAGCTCAGCACTACCTCTGCATATGACCTCGGCAAGGCAAGCTCCCTTTGGCACCCCCACTGTTCATCTTCAGTCCAGTGCCTTCCTGACTGAGGTGGCCTCCCCTGCACTGTCCTCCTCCTGCCTCTCTTTAAACTCACATCTTCACTCCACAGACACGGGCCCTACCCCAAGGAGCTCGCCGTCCGGAGGCTGTGCTGCCCCACCCCCGACAGTCTCTCTCCTCCCCGACAGCCAGTTCCACCTGCCCAATTTGTACCTGTCTCTTGAGATCCATTTTTAAAACACACCTTCTTTCCCAATACTTTTCCAAATCACTCTCTACCTAAACATATTCTCTTGTGTTCACCTCGCTGGCAGGGTCTGTACCCTAATGGCCACTGTCATACAATTGTTGTTGTTAAGTGCCGTCGAGTCGTTTCTGACTCATAGCAACCCCATGCACAGCAGAACGAAACACTGCCCGATCCCGCGCCAGCCCCACAATCCCTGCTATACTCGAGCCCATCATCACAGCCACTGTATCA